ATGTTGGCCATTTTATTATCCATTGTTTATAAGCTTCATTTTTGTACATGAAAGTGGCTCACACTCATGTTTAAATACTTGTTCAGTTTAAGTTTTGCAAAGGCTCTGTAAAATATTTTAAAGCCCATGGACCATGGTTGTATAGATTCTTCAAGGGAAATGCCAAAAAAATACTTTTAGACACCAACTTGCAGACGAGAGATGCACCGGCCAAAACGTTGTTCTCACATATAATGGCACAGATTAAGATTTGTCGATGTGAACAATTATGTGTGTGTGGATAAGACGTATGTACAACTACAAGCTGGTGTACACAATGTCGTTAGTTAAATTGGTTAGATTCAAACGAATAGCAAGGGTAGCTCATATCCTATGACCTATGATCCTAATACTTGAATAATGAAATGGGTTTTGCATTGGGGTTGAACTAACGGGGATTAAGAGGCACACGATTTCAATAAATTATATAGAAAGATTTAGATCAACTTATATTATATTATTATGATCTTTATCATTATTATTATCGAGCATGTTGAATGCTAATTTTCAAAGAGTTCGTGCTTGCAAACTATAGCAAGTAGATAGTGTGCGACTGCATGTTATACTCTACAACAAAGACTGAGAATACAATTCATGACAAGCGGGAATGATTCAAATAAACCATTTTTCACTGATAAGAGGTCTGAGTTCAAGTCATTAAGAATGTGAATGTAAGAGGATTTTCTGAAATAATGATCTAATCCCACGGAGCTATTTTGAGTAGTTGCATCATTGTGAGAGTTAGTTTCTTGTTGAGATTCACTGGTATTCGACTCTCATGACTTGGGCTTCAAAATAGAGAACATGCACAATCAATCCGTTAAGAGAGATTTTTGTGTGCAGTGATGTGTAGATGACTACAATAACCTAGCAAATTGTTCGAGCGATCCAATTTACCCCTCTCAAATTGTTCGAGCGACCCTTGAACTTATATAAAAAGGTCAAATTAGCCCTTATATAGGAGACTCTGTCTGGCCGTCTCCATTTGGGGAGGTTCCCGGTAGAAGTTTTTGATGAAATTTTTTGAGAATCTTATTCATTAAGTCTAGTTTACTCATACCAAATTTCAGCTAAAATTTCAATTGAGAAGACATTCAAATGAATTCTTGAAGATAACTGTGCTTTTAACTACGCAGTTATCTTCAAGAATTCATTTGAATGCTTTCCCGATTGAATTATTATATAAGATGCTCAAAAAATTCATCAAAAAAATTCACCGGGAATCACCCCAATGGAGACGGCTGGACAGAGCCTCCTATATAAGAGCTTATTTGACCTTTTTATATAAGTTCGAGGGCCTATTTGACCATTTCCCTTTTTTATAATTATCCAAGTCCGGTTTGATCTGGTCTGATCTGGTCTGGGACGAATTACAATCTAAGTAAAAACATGAGAAAATTACCCAGCGTGAGACTAAAAGACAACGTCTTTCCCATAGTATGACTGCATGGATGTTTATTCTTATTATATGACTTGCACATGATCACGGATATGCACATGTTTTTTAATTTTTATGTCAATCCCAATAGTGCCCTTTTTCCGTTTAATTAATGATATGCTATTCCATCCCAAAATAAACGGCACGGCTAAGCTTTTTGAGTCTTTGACGTAATACTCTCGCACGGAATCATGCTTCATAACCGTTTTGAGCAATAACCGCTAAATTAATTACAGGACCTCCTAAAAATTAGGGATTAATGAATAAAATATAACTCTTTCATTATTTGGGCGTTCGTATCCGTACCTGCGGAACACGTTAATTCTTCTTCATGGAGCAGAACACGTTAAACTATCGTATTAAATTATGAATATATATCATTTCAAGTGCGCATTATTGCCTTCCGTATGTTAATACTCATGTTTTACTATCCATGTTTAAAACTAAATATTTACTGCCCATGTTTATTGTCATTTATAAAGCTACTTTTCTTTTTGACGAATGGATGTTAACACCTTAATTGTTTAATCCCCTACCTAAACTCCCTAGGTCATTTCTTTCCTGAATTCGTTTACATTTTTTTAATTTCGTTATTACACATGTTGTTGCCTTTAATGTATTTATATACCTGCTGCTATTACTGTCTATACGGACAGTAAATGCCTTACTGGCCTGCATTCTTACTGCCTTTCAAGTACACATGTGCATATACCACCTTTATTCCCATTCACTCACAAAAATACTTGTCACAATTCCATGATTTCCCACACATATCAGTCAACACTAAAAATCATTGTACCTTACACCCATAATATTTACGTAGTAATGTACTCCGTATATCCCAAAATGAATTCCTCTTACATCCAAATAAGTAATTGCACGATTCAAAATACTGTCACAATAGGTCCAACTAACGGTATTATGGTACTACATAACAACATTTTTCAGACTTCTACCAGTACTTCAATAAACTTCTACCCTAAAACTCCAAAGTGCATTAACAACTAGGTTGCCATCTTGACCCGGTATTCAGTCATATCTTCCGGTCTCACTGCACTCAACACTAGTTTGACCAGGGAAGTATCTACTCCATATATCTCCAATTGTGTTGGTTTGCATAGGTTGTACTCCTGCACATTCAAAAATGTTAATATCACTGCCATCCAGGTTGGTGCTACCTTTACTCCGTTTACTAATGCCTTTAATATCATTGGAATTGGAACTACTTAGTACAATATATCCAAAGCACAGTGCCCTAGCCATTATCATGTACTCCATATCTTAAATTTTATGCGTACTGCCAATCACTTATATATTACTGCCCTACTCTTCTCATTTACACATTACTGCCCTTGCCATTCTTTAATCACTTATATATTACTTCCCTGCTCTTATCATTTACACATTATTGCCCTTACATTGTCCTCAAATTCACACAATAGACCCAAACCTTCAGCACATTACTTGTACTCCAGGACATTACTACCTCTACTCCATATATTAATGCCTAAAGATCTCAATTGACCTAAGTTAACCCCAATCACCACTGCCCTACCAACTATCATGTAATACATAATCTACCCTTAATGCCCACTGCCCTTCACTTGTTAGCCCAGTTACCCTTTCATGCCCTTGTCGTTGCTTTCTCATTGTTCCATCAAAATCAAAACCAAAATGACATAATGCCCTACTCTATCAAAATCACATAATGCCTTTGCCCAATATTATGCTTTCTCCAATCAACATCTCATAATGCCCTACTCTATCAGTCTATCTCATTCTCCCCTCACACAGCCCTTCCAATCATACACAGAAGAGATGCAGGTTGAAAAGGATCAGTGAAAAGGCAACGTAATTAGAAAAACATGGTTGGAAATTACCATGCCGTCGAGTGTGATTATATTGGCGTCGGAAGTAGAATTGGTGTCGTCATTCGCACTTACCGCTTCCCTTTGTATGCCATTGTCATTCATCGACTCCATCGTCGGCTTCTTTTCTTCAAACCCAACTCACAGAAGTCGGTCGTCATCTTTGATGTACTGTTCTACAAGGAAGTTGTTTCCTTCTGGTTCTCTAGTGCATTAATGTTATGCAGTCCGTCCCTAAGAACTCACTGCCTTTGCTTTTCAAATTTTTAATTTACATTTGGGTTTCGACTCTCCACATATGACTAATTAAGGACATTGTGGTCTTTTAATTTTAAATTATAACCGCTCCGTAGTCGCACACGTGCATTGTAGTCATATAACGGGAAACATACTCTTCTAGTCATACTTTGAGAAAGTACGTATGTTTTAGTCATACTGTCGTATTTTTCCCTAAAAACATCCTAAAAGTTAAAGTTAATACGTAATATTAGTCAAAGCAATAGTTAAAATTGATATTTGTCCATTTAAGAGTCAAAATGATAATTTATACTCCCTCCGTCCCGGAGACAAGTTCCACTTTCCTTATTTGGATGTCTCAAAACAAACTTCCTATTTCCCTAAATGGAAAGTTATCTTACATCCAAACAGTGCCAAACAATGTCGAAACAGTGCCAAACAGTGTTGAAACAGTGCCAAACAGTAAAATTTACCCTTCAGAAACTTTATTTCCTTAAAATGTGTGAAAATCAACCCGGGAACTTGTTCCCGGGACGAAGGGAGTATTAGTAAAGTTATTTTCACTGAAGAATGGGTATACCTTGTACTCCCTCCATCCCATTGGACTTTGCCTACTTTCCTTTTTTACTTGTCCCAAAAAACTTTGTCACTTTCCTATTAAAGCAACTAATTTGTTGTTCTACTCATTTCTCTCTCTCCTCTGCACAAATTTCAACCACACAGTTTTTACTATTCTTATTTCTCACCTACCTTGCACTTGACAAAGTCTACCAGTACGGAGGTAGTATTAAAAAATAAAGTGAGATACTACTAGAATATCTGATTGTTCAATCATTGTTTCGTTTCATTCAAATGTATATGTAAAAATTAGCTTTTTACTGATTGATCAATGATGAAAGGGTCAGTTGAGTACATCAACTTGTATGTGGTAGAGTAAAGAGTACACTATATTGCATCTGATATTTTTAAATACACAAACTCGTTTTTTTGTGTTAATTGAGTATATCTGGTAGATTAACACGTTAATTCGTCTATGTGGGCTAACGAAATGCAAATAGGTTGACTCCTTGAAGGTCAACGCTAGCCGTCGGCCCCTTGATTGACTTTCCCTTGGTTAACGCCAGCCCCCCGCGGATCAGATCGGCCTCCCAAGGTCAACTTTCTCTTTTTGGTTGACTTCCTGAAGATCGTTGTCATAAAACCTGTATGTACTTACGAACGTCAAATGCAACATAATTTAATCTTTATTTCAACTCATACAAATTGACGTACTCAATTGACTTTTAGCTCATTGATCAATCAGAGTGACGTAGAGAGTTAAGCTAAGAATTTAAGAATATGAAGTACAAATAATTGTGAGAGCATAATTGATTGTTCTAGTGACTAGAACTTGCATCTTTTGAAGGGTCACAATTAGCGGATGAGACAAAACCAATGGAATCACAATTCGTATTGAATTGGAAATTTTACTCACAATTCGTATAGGATACCGTTTTCTTATCGGCTACATAACCCCAAAACCTATTCAAACAACGCACAAAATTTCTATTCGACTCCGGAGAGTTTAGCAGAGAGCAGAAGAATCATGGCGACGACTGCGAGCGTGTGGAGTAAGCCTGGAGCCTGGGCCTTAGATTCCGAGGAGAACGAATCGGAGCTTCAGCAGTTAGTTAATGGAGACAAACAATCGAAAGGCGGCGTTGGCGGCGGCGGAGAGACCCTTTCCGATTTCCCTTCTTTGGCAGTTGCCGCATCCACCAAGCCTAAGAAGAAGAAAGCTCAACCCTTATCTTTGCAGGAGTTTTCCAATTACGCATCCGCTAGGCAGGCTCCGTCGCTGGATACGGTTTCCCTCCCAACAGGCCCCCGCGAGCGGACTGCTGAAGAACTTGACCGCTCCAGGCTTGGTGGCGGGTTCAGATCTTACGGTTCTTACAACGACAGGCCTGCTCGTGACGATTCTCGCCGACAAGCTCCTCGCGAGTTCACGCCTTCTCGTGCTGACGAGACTGATGATTGGGGAGCGTCGAAGAAATTTTCTCAGGGAAACGGGTTTGAGAAGAGGGAGAGGGGAGGGTTCTTCTCTGATTCGCAATCTCGCGCTGACGAGACTGATGATTGGGGAGCATCGAAGAAATTTTCACATGGAAACGGTTTTGAGAGAAGGGAAAGAGGGGATAGGGTAGGGTTTTTCTCAGATTCGCTATCTCGCGCTGACGGGTCTGATAATTGGGGGGCGAATAAAGCGTTTATTCCTTCCGAGGGTGGTCGGAGGGGGGTTGAGAGGAGAGGAGGGTTTGAGTCAAACGGGGGTGCTTCTGATTCAGATAACTGGGCAAGGAAGAAGGAAGATGATCATCCGCGGAAGTTCAGCTCAGATTCTGAGAGTTGGGGGAGAAACAGAGATGAAGGAAGTGGCAACAGTGGCAGACCAAGGTTGAATTTGAAGCCTAGGACAATTCCTTTAGGTGAAGGGCATCAAAACGGAGATGGAAGTGCAGGGAAACCGAAAGGGTCGAATCCATTCGGGGAAGCTAGGCCAAGAGAAGAAGTTCTGAAGGAGAAGGGGCAAGACTGGAAGGAGATCGATCAGAAGCTTGAGTCCCTAAAGATGAAGGGTGTTGGGAAGAACAGCTTCGGGAGCAGTAATGGGAGATCTTCACCTGAGGACAGCACAGAAAAGAGTTGGAGGAAGTTAGAAGGGAATGACTCCAGGTTGGTGAAATAGGCGTTCCTTGTTTATTCCACTACCATTGAAAATCCGTTTTTTCTGAATGTGTCATCGTGACCTCCCACTAGCTATTAGGTTTGGTTCTATTTGTAAATCCATAGACATACACTAGCAGTAGTTGATGCTTATGAGTGATCATCACGTGGGACAATGTAGCTTGATTTTTACTTACAACAAGTATTTGTGGGCGTAGTGGACATTCAGTTGTTCAAGATTGTTATTTTAAAGTGGGTTTTTTCCTGATAATAATCTGTAATTACTTGCCATATAAATGCTGCTGCCATAGATTGCCTAATGCCTAGAATGGTAATGGTCCATATTGGAACACCAAAAACATGTTTGGGAATTCTATTTTTGGTCATTTTACTGTGATGGTAATGTCAGCTTTTTGTTTCGTAACCTCCAAGATTTATCTACATCATCTGGTAAAGATTTCTTAATCATGGCTTCAAAAAGTTTACCCGTATATCATACTCCTTATAAATTTATTTTGGGGTAAATTTTGGACTTCTTTGAGCTATCCAAATTTGTTAAATGGAAAATTTGAGAATCGAAAGTGATAGTGCATCTTATTAACAAATGAATATATTAGGTATTCTTTTTCTAGTTATAACATTGATGAACAAATTTCACTTATATACATGGCATTATCAATTATACTCTAATACTAGATTGTTTGGTTTGAATGAACTTTTTAAAAGGTATACACCCGGCACAAAGATTGGTCTTTTCAAGCTATTTGGAAAAGTACACTATATGAATTATGAAATATATTTCTAAACAAAACTGCTTCGTTTTGTTGTACCCAAAAAGTGGCTTTGAGTCACAATATATTCTCACCGCATTGTTGTTTGAACTTCGGGGGGGAATGCTTCCTGCTTACACACTTGTTTTTTATCTTACAACTTTCTTTACATCTATTTTCCTTATCCTAAGAGCTTTATCTAATTGCAGACCAGAGGAAACCGAGCAATCTATGGAAGAGTACAGAGATGGAGATTGCAATGATGCGGAACCTCAGCAAGATAAAAACTAATGCTACACGTCTGCAGAAAGAGTTTTGACCTATTGGGCTATGAAACATTACACTAGTTTCTTAGTACCTCTTTTTTATTATTATTTCTGGTAATAATGTGTAATTTCTTTCATTATAAATGTGAAAACATTTATCTGATGAGTGCAGTTTTGTTCTGCTGAGTGTAGTTGATTGATTTACATTGTATTATTAGCAAGAACTGGAATAAAAGTCGTTTGTCTTCTTACAGTGTATATCAGCTTTGTTGTTTATGCTTAGAATTGTTTGTTTAAGCTGAAGTGAAACAAATCCATGAGTATTTCAGTATTTGGCTGGTGCAAGTCCTAGTTCATCCACTGAAAAGAATTGGGTGCTTCTCAAGTCCTAGCTTGTTCCATAACTTCCATTGCCAATTTCATAACTTTTTAAAATTAGGGCGGTTCTACCCAAGATGGAGCGTGGAAGGCATTATAATTTCCGTTATGATTCTCGCTTTACGAGGAATTGTAATTAGACTGGATCCTCCCCTAGTCATTATAAACCAGCTCAAAGAAGGGAACGGAAACCTCCATTCGTTTTACTTATGAGTCGTTTTCTTCCTCTGGCTTTTATTTATTGCCAATTAGGAAGGGAAAGTTCCTTCTGATTACTGTACAGATTTAGAAGGGAGCTGGTGAAGTGCATTAAGTTCAACCATGCCCTCGTGGCAAACTTCATAGTATGAAATAAAGCTGGAACTTGATGATTTAATGGGGAGGAGGTTTTACAACGGCTGTGGCCTGTGTGAATGAGTATTTTCCGTACCATGTCAGCAGTAGGCTCATAAATAAATGCGCCATTGGAGACAGTTGATTGTTGTAATGCCACACCCCACCTATTCCTAATAAATTCTTCAACCATTCTTCCTCTTATTATGTTCACATTCAAGATTTGAACTTTACAGCTTCTGCTACTCTTCCCAGCTTTATTTAACCCTGCCCATAACTCTCCATCTGGTTCTGCACCATTCTTACTCCTCGTCATGGATTGGCATTTCAAGCTTTCCTTTGCAGCATTCCTGGTCTTAGCTCCCACCATTTGTACACTCACACATGGGCTAACCATCATCTCTGGAACGGTCTTCTGCGACCAATGTAAAGATGGCCAGATTTCTCTCTTCGATTATCCCGTTTCCGGTAATAGTTAAAGAATGCGTCTTTGTTTTGTTTTCTTAAGAAAATTGAGTGGTTCTTGATAATGACTTAGAACATTTGTGGTGCAGGGATAAAAGTTGCAATGGCGTGTCCTGATGGGAACGGGCAATTGACAACGAGGGGAGAGGAAACCACGAATTGGTTAGGCACTTTCAACATGAGGTTTGATGAAACTTCAGATTTAAGCAATTGTTTTGCCCAGGTCTCGGGAAGCGGTCAAGCATCAGGAGGAGCCTGTGGGGCAGTGAGCGGTCCTGCTAGACCTCTCAAACTAATGTATAACATGTTTGGTATGGCAATGTATGCTGTAGACACTCTGATTTCCCAGCCTGTACAGCCAATGTCCTTTTGCCCATCTTCTTCCGTGCCTGTACCCGGGCTCGTACCTGTTACTCCACCACCCAAGCTGCCTTCTCCACCAGCATTCGTGCCTGTTACTCCACCACCCACGATGCCTTCTCCACCAGCATTCGTACCTGTCACTCCACCACCCAAGGTGCCTTCTCCACCAGCATTCGTACCTGTTACTCCACCACACAAGGTGCCTTCTCCACCAGCATTGCCCATCTTACCTCCAATGCCTCCATTTCCATTTCTTGAGGCTTCCGCCTGTCCATACGGGTAAGGTTGATCATGAGTTATTACAATTACAGGTTGAACTAGACAACTAGTTCTTTCTAGGTTATCTTTGCTTTGTCCAGAGAACTGGCCGAAAAGGTATCTAGGAATTCATCAAAGTGCATTGGAAAAAAACTGAAATTAACAGTATTGTCAATTCGATGAGTAGCCTAAAATCATATATGTTGACATATACTCCCATGAATTTGGATTAACTATGATACTATATTTAGACTTGAGGTTGCATCATAAAATAGTGACATATATGATACTCTGATTTGTCAAAGTGCATTGTAAATAAACTGAAATTAAAAGTATTGTCAAATTGATACGAGTAGACCAAAATCATATATGTTGACATATACTCCCATGGCTCAACGCAAGATCATGAATTTGGATTAATTATGATACTAATCATACTATATTTAGACTTGAGGTTGCATCATAAAAAATTGACATATATGATACTCATAGATTTGTCATTTCGTATTAAGCCAAATCGAAAGAAATGCATTAACAACTACCTAAATCCTAATCTTGATTCTTGATGTGGGCTGGTGGGGATGTGTATGTGCAGAAAATGGATGATGCCTGAATACAGATGCTACTGGAAGGTTGTAAGTCCAGATACAAAAGTGGGAGTCGTTTTCGGGCTGCTAGCGGCAAGAAAATATGGAATGGAGATGACGCTGTGGGAAGGGTTGAACGGGAGAGGGGAGGCCTACAAGACATTGCTGAGGGAAGGCACAACTGCACTCCTCAACTCCTACAATTCGGTGCAGTACCCTTACAACCCGCTGGGAGTTGTGGAACGCATGAATTGGGCGTTGATGGCGGGGTCCACTCGCCAAGTTCTCCACACAGCTCTCAGTTTCATGAAGGCTAACTATGGATTTGGCCACCCTGCATCTACCTGCAGATTCACTTCTTGCACCCCCAATTGATCATGATAATTGTTTGTTCTATTGTGATATTATTATTATTATCACTCATTCACTCATATATACCATTTCTCAGCTCCTTCATATTGCTACTACTACTATATGGTTGATGAATATGAGCTGAAACACGTCATTTATAGTCTATAGAATGTTATGTACTTACGTAAAGGCAGGTCCTAACTCATATTGTTTTTCAGTGTATCCCGGAGTGCTTCGTATTATATTTACTGTATGGGGTTTGTATTTTCCCATACGTGAGAATGTGAGATGCCACAATAAAATATTTTCACTTTTGTTCTTATCCACGGGTTCATTAGAGGTTTTCACTTGAAGTGATTTTTTTTTTAGCTAGTCTGATCTAGTATGGTCTTTTTAATTTTGACCTAATTTTTTCAAATTTGATCTGGTCTCAACCGATCTAGTATAGTATCATGTATGTTTGACTACTATTTGGTCTAGCCTGTTTAAGACAGTTTGATATAATCTGATATGTTTAAGCCTAATAAAAAATAAGTCTAGACTAATTTGGTAAAATAGTCCAAGTGAGGACATCCACATTGTAATATGGTTCATTGCACATTTGCCCTAAACATGATGAGAGACTCAAGGAGTGAGCAATATTACCATCATCGTACCTTTGTGTATACAACCCACGATGGTTCCATTCCTCACCACCAAAGAAACCATTATTCCCATTAACTATATGCACATTCAAGCACATGATCAAGAGTCAATTTATATGGTATATCCATACCGCTTCAAAAAATATATAAGTACTTTAATCCTCTTATCCATTTAACATTGCTTTATTTTATTCACTTATTATGCTGCTTATGAACATACGGAGTATTACGTAAATTTTGTCTCACTTATGTTATTGAAACACAATATTGTGGAAAAATAATCTCAGCCCTATTTGAAAATGTGTTATAGTTTAATATTATGTGGAAAATTTAGTATTCCAATGATAGTATTATAAAAGTTTAAGTAAATATAAGCACTTTTTTTTATTAAAAGGAGATTATTTCCTAGACCACCGAATATGTGCGGACAATAGTGATGTTAACCATTTATCAATGCACAAAAACCATCAAAAGCCATAGGGTGGAGAGAATATTGGGACTTTATAACTACCTCTAACTCTTGCTTGATATAAAGAAAGAGACTCTCATAGGCTAGAGAGAATGATAAACAAATAAATACGATAGTATACATTAAGAAAAAGAGAGAAATAGATGGCTATGGAAAAAATAATTTTGTGTTTAATTGTATTGGCGTTGACCGCATTATCAGGAGGGCATGCTGACCAAGGAAAAGAGTCATGGGCCAAAAAACTTAGAAAAGGGCACCAAGCAGTGACCACTCTGCAATTTTATTTCCACGACAAACTGAGTGGATCAAGCCCAAGTGCGGTCCGCATTGTTGAGCCAACAAGGGCCAGCAAATCTCCGACCCGCTTCGGAGTGGTGATGATGGCCGATGACCCATTAACAATTGGGCCTGATCCAAAATCGACAGAAGTGGGACGAGCCCGTGGGCTGTATGGATCAGCTGGGCAGAAGGATCTTGGGCTTATCATGGCCATGAGTTACAGCTTTACGCATGGCGAATACAACGGAAGCTCTTTTAGCCTTTTGAGCATTAACCATGCTATGGACCCGGTTCGCGAATTGGCCGTGGTCGGTGGGACCGGCCAATTCCGGCTGGCCCGTGGGTACGCGCTAGCCCACACACATTCCTTGGATGTTCCCACCGGAGATGCCATTATTGGTTACAATGTCACCCTTATTACAAACAACTAAATATTCTTCTCTTAATTCATGCTAGATCAATCAATTATTGTAAATTAGGTCTAATAATTTTTTTTATACATCGGAAAGGAATAAGGTCTAATAATGCTTAGCTTATTACCACGTAGATAATTAGTACTGGTTTTATAATTATTTGTTTTGTAGGCTTTCTATTTGTCATTATTGTATTCTTACTTTTTTAGCAATGGAACGGCAATTTTGATAAATATGTCATAACGCAAACTCAATGCATTTCGGCATTTGTAATTCCAGTTTTCTCTTTATAATTCGATCTCCTAAAAGTGCTTCTCTTTATCGGCATTTCTTTATAAGTGCCTTCTCCATAAAGATCAATAACAATATTACGGAGTATAATATAAATAAATGATTAAATAATCATTTAATTCAACTAAATACATGAGAGATTGATAGATATAATACTCTCTTTTTATGGATACTATAGCACACTAAATGATTCATCCTCATTTACTTTCCTGGTTTACAAAAAAAGGCACTTCAAACTTAAATGTGTATTTAGTTAATAATAACCCAATATAAACTAGACTGATTAGATAAGAATTTTTCAAACCAATGTAAAAGAGGCTGATTTCAATGCATAGGAACCGTAATGAGAACCAAATGCATTTAGTTCAGTTTTAAACTTTTTTTTTAAATCTTAACTCCAAATAATCATTTGTATAGAGTTAAGCTCATTATGTTACTAGATTTCCAATAACAAAAAAAACTTCGTACACATATAAAGGAATGCCATGATATTATCATAGACAAAAAATTAAATTGAAGGATTAATTATATGTCACTAATGTTTCAAGGGAGTTCAGTATGCATATATGTAACGTTTTTAATTACTTTAAGAGAATTACCGAAATAAGACTAAAAATGTTTGGGAATTCCAAAATAGGACGGTCATGTTTTTATTTCCAAAATAGGACTACTTTTGTCATGTTTTGACAGTATCAGGCTTCAAACGTGACAATACTTTTCAAACTTGACAGTACGTAATTACTCATATTTTGGAAATAAAAAACTTGACAGTAATTACACACATATATTGAAATTTTCAAAATGTTTAAATCCTATTTCGGGAATCTTCCCTTAGTTTTAAACACCTTTGAAACAAATCTTCTTCCGTACTAAAATCACGAGTTTTGGTTTTCATTTCTTTGTTTGGTACCGGGAAACCAATTCAATTGACGTATTTGATTTTGGAGTGTATTTTGTATATTCCATTTAGCAAATTTCATAAATACTCCGTATCATAATGTGTCTAAAACTATATACAGCCATAACTTTAAACAGCTCATACGAAATGAGAATTCTTGCATTATTTTAAATATGTTCATCAAAATAAAGTATTCAAAATATCTTATAGACTTATACTCCAAAAACTCTTAAAATATTGAATGTTCTTAGTTGGAGTATCGAGTAAGCTATAGTAAAATCAAATAAAAAAAGAGAGAGAATTATTTAGAATTATTTTTTTAGAGTAAAATCAAATACATCAATTATGTTAGACAGTTGGCATAAAAGAAGAAGAAACTATCAAACTACGAGTTTTTATTTAGAGAAGAAGAGAATTATTAGTTAATGTCCAAAAATAATTATTTTCTTTCGTCAAATAATGTCCACAAATGATTGAAAAAGCGGTTAAATTTATGTTTATTTTGTCCATTTGAAATTAGAGCCAATGTTTTACGCGTACTTAGGATATTTTTACTGGACTATAATTTGTTGATCTGGTCTGATCTGTTTAAGTATAGTCTGGTCTGTTGAACTCTGGTTTGAACTGGTCTGTTTAACTCTGGCCTGGTCTGAACTGGTCTTGTCTGGTAAATGTCTAATCTCTGTGTATTTTATAACTACGGAAGTCAAGTTTGCTTTGGTCTGATGATCTGTTTAAGTTTGGTCTGGTCTAATTTGGTACTTTGGTTTGTTTAAGTCTCGTCTGGGTTTGTCTGTTTAAGTCTTGGCTGGAACTGGAAACAGTCCAAGTAAAAATATCTTTATTTCAGTCTCAATTCAGACCAGATTATATCAGACCAGATCGGATTTTGATAATTATAAAAATAGGGAAGAGGTACAAATATATCCGTATAGTTTGAAAGTGATGGACCCGGGCCGGGCCGGGTCCGGATCGGGCCAAGGCCCGGGCGGGCCGGCGGTTCAGGATTGGTGGACCCGGGACCGGTCCGGGTAGCCACCGGGTCCGGGCCGGGCCTCCGGTATGGGTATTTTTTTTTGCTTTCCTAACCCCCCCCCCCCCCCCTCACCCCCCATCCTCCCAACCCCCCCATACCCATCCTAACCATCAAGCCCAACCAGGGTGGAACCCCAAAAAATGAGGAAAAAAAATCAATTTGGCCCGGACCCGGGCCTGACCCGGCCGGGCCGGTTCGCCAAATGTGAGACCCGAGCCTGGACCCGCCCTCCCCCCTGGGCCTAGGCCCGACCCGGACCCGAGAACCGGGCCGGTCCCGCACAGTAGCGGGCGGGGTGGCCCGACCCGAGTCCACCACTGGTTTGAATAAAGGAACAAATATATCTTTGTTCTATTTTTGGGAACGTATAAACTCCTGAAGTTTATGTGAAAATGTATATGTACCCCTATTCTATAACTAAATTTCAAAAAACACCACAAGTGAAATATAAATCTAAAATTGAAAAAACGTGTACTTCTATCAAATTCTCCTTTTTATGATTTTTATATCACAATTAAAGATTGTTAGTATAAAATATTATTTCAACATTTTACTGTATATTAGATTCTTTTAGAAAAGTGTTAACATATGTGTTGCAATGTACAAAAATCATTAATTTTTTGTATTCTTTCACTATAAATTACTCCGTATATATTTTGTATGATGATAAATAAATCAAGATTAAAAAATAGTGAATTTAATTTTATTGAGGTTAAACAAAATCAAATAATGTTATTTCAAAAACTGTAACAATGCGTTCGAAATTTTGCAACAAGACTAAATTTAATATTTATGAATTTGTAGAGCTTCATTTACAACAGAAAAATTATAATTTTGCAATTTAAAATTAAAGACTTTATATTTTAATATAAAAGTAAATCTTTATTTTTAACTCCTTCAATTTTTTAATT